CTTGAACACCAGATCAGGGCTATGGCAATCATATGCCATGGCCCAAATCTGGTGTTTACCTGGCCCAAAAAGAAGTGGCAAAATGCAGCTCCTCTTTGGTGCAGGAAAAAGCTGGCTTTGCCGTTGCAGCAGTGGCTTTTTTGGTGTTTCTGTTTCGCTGTGTGTGTAAACACCATGCCACAGAAACACAGTGACACTGCCCACTCTGCAGTCAGCGGGGCAGTGTGATGCTGGCTTGGAGCCGGCATCGGGGCTTGCACCATGCATACCACACGCCACCCTGAAGCTGGTGTTTCTTGCTGGTCTGTTTTGGCCACAAGATAAACCAGTGAAATATTAAAATCAAACACGTAGATTATCAAAGTAGGATATCCTATTCTAGCAACCCCATCTTTTTTCCCTTCAGCATATTCTACCTGTTTGTTCAAATACTCAGCAGCTTTAAGTAAGGCACATCAATCCCTAGTGAATAACAGCAGAACATTGAAATGAAGAATCAGAATTTTAATGAACCAAAGCATTGCCTTAAGAATTTTTCTTTAGCAGTAGTTGGAACTGATGTATCCTAGGTTCAGCAGTCCTCAAATCTAGATTTTGTGTCCCTCCCCAACTAATAGAACTGCAGCCCAATTAAATACTTGTAAATTGATTGGGGATATAACTTTTAGACTGTTTATTAGATTTGATTCTGGAAAATACTGTTTCTGAATCAAGAAACATGTTCCCCTTGTTTTTAGATGATACACAACAGTTTCATCAGGTTATCTCTTAGAAGAACCATTTCTCCGGTATAGACAGAAGACCTAGGGAAAAACTGGAATGGGGTATGGCCAACTTCCCCATACCGTCTCATCTTTATTTCTGTATGTGAGAGAAGGGAAAATGCCTCTTAAGATATGTTTGCCACCTGCAATTTTTATAAGCATTAGGCAGAAATATGTTTTTTTAAATCCTCCTGATTTTTTAAATTAAAGCATCTGTTGGTTTTTAGAATTTTTGAAATAGATATATCAATTAAATACTGTAATGTGTGTGTGTGTGTGTGTGTGTGTGTGTGTGTGTGTTGCTCTTAAAGTTACAGGTCTTTCCAAGGTGGCTTGTAAGTTAAACTAGAATAGAATAAGACAATTTTAAAACAATAGCTTAGCAGATATATAAATCAAGATCATTCCTGCAGGATAGTTGGGTTCATGCCTTTCTGTGCAAAGGGAGTTGATTTCGTCTTTTCTTATCATGTGCTTTCTTTAAACCTAGTTGTAGCAAACACATAAATCTAATGAGACCACATTCTGTCTTGTTACTGGAAGTTCTTATTTCTTAACTATTTAAACCATTAATACTCAGACCTTTAACTACAGTTGTCCCTCCCTTTTCGCAGACTTGGAATCTGCGGTCTTATTCTACATGGGAGGGATAAGTGCCTATTGTTGTAATGGTGCTGTGCACCTGTGTGCCGCCGCACACACCCCATTATTTCCTATGGGACTTGAATATGTGCGAGTCACCATGTTCGCGAGGGGATCTGGGACGGATCACCCGCGAATTAGGAGGGGCTACTGTACTAAATTTTCTTCCCAGAGCAGCCTACAAAGATAAATGTTTCCTGTCCTCAGGTTTATGATCTACACTTCATGACACACAAAAAATGGGGAGTAAAAGAGTTCAGTTCTTACAAAGAGCAGAAAAATAAAGTAATTCAGGTAGACTATTGGAAAGGTTGTTGCTGGTGGGAGGTGAGGAGGGGCAAAAGGCAGCTGGTCTACGCAAAGGAATATGGACATTATGTTAGGATTTCTTCACATTCTGTATTTAAAAGTCTTGTTGAAGTTTAGGCCAACAGTGATAGCTGTGTAGGGTTTTTGAAATTAATATTCTGTGTCATTTCATGATTTTTTTTTAAAAAAAATTACCCCTTATCCCTGGATTTAGTGTTTCATTTTTCTGCTATTCTATTAAGTATTCGTATTGCCATCATTATTATATGTCTTCTTTTCAGACTAGCAGTGCAGTGTGTGCTTTTCTTCTCAGAAATAAGTTCTGCTGTATTCAGTGGAGTTGACTGTGATAGGTTTACAGCCTAAGAGAGCTTAGTACTCAACCACAAAAGCACAGCATAAAATCATAGAGCTGGAAGAGACTACAAGGGCCACCCAAGCCAACCCCCCTTTTAACTTTTCTTAAACCTCTAGATCCCTTTTTGCCTCATTGTAAGATATACTTTGTATACATTGTTCAGTAAGACTTTTTCTTACACCCACTTGTTTATTTATACCCAAGTAACTTGAATTGTTGGAACTGAAAAGTGGCAGTATCACATAGTAAGTATACTTCGTTCATGTCCATAGAACATAATTCATTTTTCTTGGACTTGTTCACTGGTTGAGTATCCCTTATCCAAAATGCCTGGGACCAGAAGCATTTTGAAGTTGGGTTTTTCCCCCCTGGATTTTGGGATACACAAGTAGCATAGTAATACCTGCACTATATTTGTGAGGCTGGAGAGAGACATGAAGATCGTGAAATGGTGTGAGCATTACACGTGGATTCTCCCACCATTTTACAGATCCTCACATTCTCTCCAGCCTTACAACTTTTTGCCACCAGCTATCCACTTCTATCATCAGGTTGGCGGCTGTGGTACTCTGCTTGTTCATCTTTCTCATTGCATCTCATTCATTCACTTCTTGTATTGTGTAAAAAGCATGAGGCTGGAGAGAGACTGAAAATCTGAGAGATAAATGAATAGGCGTGCAGCAGCCATGATGGAAGCAGCCACCTGGAGGCAAAAGACTAAGGATCTGTGAAGTGGTGGGAATCTAAGTGTAGTGCTTCATGTGGATGCCTCCACCATTTTATGGCTCTTTGCATCTCTCTTGAACCTTGTGTCTCTCCAGTTTCACAAATACACTACAGGTATGTACTGTGATAGGGCCACCTTAGGGTTGCCATAAGTCGGAAACAATTCAAAGGCATACAACAACAACAACAATCTTAGAAGTCACACTCTCTCAGCCTCAGAGGGTGGCAAAGGCAAACCCTGTCTGAAAAAACACATAGGCAAGAAATGATAAGTTCATGATAGGTTTGCCTTAGTATCATTATCAGTTGGAAACGACTTGAAGGCACACAACAACAACAACAACAGTCTTTGAAGTCACACTCTCTCAGCCTCAGGGGAAAGCAATGGCAAACCCTTTCTGAACAAACCTTGCCAAGGAAACCCCAGGATAGGTTTGTCTTTGAGTTGCCAAAAGTCAGAAACGACTTGAAGTCACACAACAATAACAACAACATTCTTGGTAGTCACACTCTCCCAGCCTCAGGGGAAAGCAATGGCAAACCCTTCTGAACAAATAGCAGCAGCAACAACAAGAACACCACTTCCCCAAATTCCTGACCTAGGGGACCATTAGGTTGCTTCCCATCAGGAAAATGTATGCAAGGAGAGTGGGATGGATGGCTCCTCCTCTTCCTCCTTTTCCACCCTTCTCTTTTTCATTCTTCTCTTCTTCCTCCTCCACCTGCACCACTACTTTTTCTTCCT